CGATGTGCTTACGATCAATTCAGACATCCCTTGAAGATCAGTTCTCTCTCCTCTGCCCATTTCCTTCCACAAAAATGACTATCAGATCAGTGTACCTCACATTTACCTCAAGTTCAGCGGGTCGTACTGGTGTGGTGTCCATACAATGTCTCAGCGGCAGGAATCGAACTTCGGAGATGCATGTCTCGATTCCTCTCGAGGGCAGTATTTTCTATTGAGCAAGGAGTTTATCACACATTGCTAGAGACAGTGGTTGCTCAGTTGGCCAAACGTCGAACTCAGAACTGATAGTTTCCGATTTCAAGTCGCCAGGGGGGATGACTCACCTTTCTTCCTTATGGGGTTGACAAATGACTATCGCTGTGCGGAAAACACCTTTAACAGTGGCCTTTGATGGACTAAGACGGCTGAACATCTACGCATTTTCAGAGTCAGTATCCTGTGGTAAAATGATTAGTTAGCTCGCGCAAGAATAGCAATAACAGCGATCGAATCGACCTTTCTCAGTCTAACGCTGTTATCTGCTTCGAAACATCTACTGCTTGGAAAGTCCATCGATACAGCACCCAAAGATCTGGGAGCTTGCGTTGATTTAAGGCCATTTTTGCCAAAGCAGAAATGTAGCCTTAGTAGGTAGGTGTTGAGGTTTCTCTTCAGGGTTCTCAAACAGACAGCAGATAAAAAGCTGATTTAAAACATCCTATTAGCGAGTTACCAAACATTGAATATCTTTTGTTTTGCATCGAGTTTTCTCGTCATCTTCTGCACCGTGTACAATCTCTGTTTGTAAATGGTGATGAGACAATTTCATACTAATAAAGCATATACTTTACTGATTAGTCTATCATAGATGCAAAAGAAATGATTGCTATATCTTAATACTTCAAGTATTAGTTATATTTTGCATTTACAGGACGCTGCCATAGAATATCAGTTGCCGCCAGCCAGACCTCACTAATAAACGGGGTAAAATGTCAGAGTTAAATATGGTAGAGTACGTTCTTTTCACTCTTTAACGTAGAGGCGGTGGTCATTCGTCTTCTTTGAATCGATTGGCTGACGAAATTACGGTAGCGAAAAGATTTTATGCTCATTTTTCAGCAAAAACGTTTCAGAATCAGATCGATACTGTATCGTGCCATGGGAAAGCTGAATCCGATTCCGTTGAGTGAACGGTAAGACAAAAATCTGTATTCGACTAGATTCAAACGCTTTGATCAAAGCGGCATCACTCATCCTATCATCAAGGAATGAACAGAGTAAATGCAGCCGCTAGGTCGGTCGATTTTCGACCAGCCTGCACAGCGCTTCATTATTTAAGCACTTAATGAATTAAAAACGAAATAGTCAATGTTCCAGGGACTGTATCGCGCCTAAACGTTGGCAGACGAAAACCCGTGTCAGGATTAGAACCTGATGAGACACTTGCCACTGGCCATCCCTTGAATCTTCGATTATCTCGCTTTAATTTGCGGAAGCATTCTTAAAACGTGCCAAAATCATCGCAGCAACTGTGACATCTAAACCTGGCCAAAAGGAGGCTTTTTCGGATATCTTAATTTTGGGCCATTAGAGACTCGTCTCAGGAAGCCCATTTCAGCCGCTTGTAAAAATGAATTGTTTGAAAATCTTTGACCGACCTTTCGGTTTTGTAGTTTTGATGCAAGTATAAGTTATGAAGATAAGTGAAAAATGAAATAGAAACGAAACATTGCAGCATCAATATTCAATTTTTCAACGTTTCATTTGAGTTTTTTATTACGTACATGATGGAGGTGCTAAAGAAATTTAAATTCCCTCTGTTCAAAATTAAACAAAAATCAATTTAAATTAAATTTAAACTGAAAAACAGTTAATGTCTAAGAAGAATCAAATTTGCATATTGGCGGTAATGAGTTCACGTCTTTATTTACAGCCGCGCGGTAGTCGTATGTGAATAAACCCGGGTTCTGTTTGCACTGTTCTTCGTACACATAGCACATGCATCCGATTTCTTCCACGCTTAGGTTATACGGAACGACTTTCGGACTTATTCGAGACCGACGTAGCAGTTGGTCGGCCATCGCAGTCCTTTGTTCCGGCGGATATAAAGTTTCCACACCTCGAACGCAATACTTCTGCCGGAAATGAAAAATATGGCGACAAACTTTCTCGACGAGGTCAAAGTGGCACTTGATAAGCGGTTTCACTAGTGGTAAAAAATGAACGACGGCAACATCCACTTTCGGACTTGGAATAAAGGCTCTGCCTAAAGTGATTCAAAACACATCAGATCATATCATGTGCTATATTTGTATCATATCAAAAAAGTTACTGTAAAGCGGGGGAGTCCTTTCGATCGCACTGAAAATTCTGGAAGACATCAAGCACATCTTGGGAAACAGAAGTTCACGGCTCAAATTTTTGCCTGTTTCCGAAATTATGTGGACTGCTAGGGTGATATTTTAAATCACATGCTTTCAATATGACAATAACTTCTGTCGCATATCATAACGGGCAACCATTAAATCTCGTATGCACTGACAGCGGAAATTTTTTATGAACCACTTTGGATTCGCCTCTTGAAATGTTTGGCGTATTCATAACAACCTATTGTTATTCCCTTACGTCCCTTCGACTGAGCATATGAGGAGAAAAGGATTGAACTCATCGTCGAGGAAGGCGAAAAAAACCAGTTTTCAGAAATGCATTAATAACACACACATATTTGAACGAGACTATGCTTTAGACGTGCCAGCAATTTTCTCCATTAGAATAACGATGGCTTTTGTATCAGAAGGCGAAACCTCAGAATGAAAGAGAAAACTTGCATCACGTCTAAAGCGAGCGATTTATTTAAAGGGTGAAACGTTAAATATCATTTATACGCAATTTATTGTATACTCGAATAGTCAAATCTTCAGCCGCAACAATTCTTTGCCGCAGCATGGTCCGCGAACCC